TTCCTGATTCATGAAGGAGTCTGCAAGACATTCTGCAGAACACAGCAGATAGTGACTGAACTGCCTTTAAAATTTCCTGCTTCATGAAAATGTCTCTGGATACTATGGGCCTGTAGGCCAAAGATGGATGCCCCAATGGTACAGAGAAACTTTGGGTGACTGTCTAGGCAGCGAGATGTCTCTGTCATTTCTAGAGTTTAAAAGTTGCTTATTTCTTGTTTGCTTAGGTAATATTGTATCTTTCGGGAGTCTCTGATGGAGATGAAGACTAGTTAGTTATAGTTTTCCTTAGTTATGATAAAGATAATATAAACGTAAATATTGTAATTTTTACTTGATAACTGTTTTGTTATATGTAATTTTGCTAATTAAAGTTAAAGCCTTCCTCTTTTTTTTTGCTTAAACAGAAAAGGGGGAAATGATGGAGGAAGGTAATTGGTTAAAAAAATAAAGAAACTGCTTGGCCCTCATAGGTTAGAACATAGGTGGGTGGAGTAAACAGAACAGAATGCTGAGAGGAAGAGGAAATGAGCTCAGATGCCATGCTCCCCTCTCCTGGGCAGATGCGATGAAGCTCCGACCCAGGATGGACCTAGGCTAGAATCTTCCCGGTAAGCGCACCTTGGGGTGCTACACACATTATTAGAAATGGGCTAGTCCAGGTGCGAGAGTTAGCCAAGAAGAGGCTAGAGATAATGGGCCAAGCAGTATTTCAAAAAATACAATTTGTGTGCTGTTATTTTGGGGCATAAACTAGCCAAACAACGAGGAGCCGGGCTGTGGGAAGAGGCCCGCAGCTCTTACAACAGGGGAGGAAGAGAAGAAGATGAAGAAGAAGAAAGGTGGAGCCCCATGCCCTCTGAAGACTCACCATACCTGCACTGTCCTTGCCCCCTATCTTTCGTCTTTCCTCTTCCTGAGAAAAGGGAATCACAGCACCATATGTTCTGTGTTCACCTCCTTGTCGTGAACTCAGTAGCAGCCCCAGGTCAGAGCATCAGAAAATGCCCGGATTGACTGCTGGGCCAGTTAGGTCAGCTGCCTGCACAGATGGAGCCTCCAGGGAGATTACGTGTTTGCATGCTCTTCCTGAACCTTCTGTCATGGCTCTACCTGATCCATCGGGCCCTGCAAATGTCCATCTCAGTCCTTGACAAGATCTACAGACACCTAGAAAACAAATGTCTGACCAATCTATAAAGAAGTTTCTAGACTGAATTAACTAAGGAAAGAAAAATCACCATTAATGTGGGCAATTACCGTTCGGTGGCTGGAGTCTACCGAAAAAAACCGAGAAAGTGAGCTGAGAACCAGAATCCACATCTCTTGGCTTCCTGACTGAAGATGTCATGTGATCAGCTGCCTCACCTGGCTGCTGTCAGGAATTCTCCTCAGCCTTAAACTATGAACCTGAAATTAACCCTTCTTTCCATAGTGGCCTGTGTCAGGAACCACACCACAGCTACTAGACAAGGAACAAGACAACCTTACCCACAGGGATCTCACTGACTTTGGGGACTGAGGCACATGGATCCTCGCATGCACACTGGTGTGTACAGGTTCACTAGTGGCTCTGGCTTGTGTGCCTCCAGTCCTGTGCACACGCTTGTGGCCCAGCACCCAGTAGGAAAGTGAGCTCAGGGCTCCACACTCCTCACCTGATAGGCAGCAGAAGCTGCACTCCAGATGAAGCCCTTGGGGAACTCTCCATACAAAAACTCGTCCTCCTTGGCCAGGGGCATGCCATTGTTGGTAATGACCTCTGTGTAGTAGCTGGCCGAGGCTCTTGCTGTTCGAGGCCTGGTCACATTGTCAAAGTCAACATGATACAGTCCAAACTTGATTGTGTAGCCTGACAGCCACTCGAAGTTATCCATCAGCGACCAGGCAATATACCCTCGAAGGTCCACACCATCCAGCCTGTAGGCTAGGAAATGCCAAAGAGAGCAGAAGAAAGCTTTAACCAGTAGGCAGGGCTCTCGAGAAGCCAATCCTGTACTGGTACTGGACTCCTATGCTAAACCAGGCAAGTGTGCAATCACATGGTTCCTGAGAGAGGGACATGTCACCTCACCACTCATACTTTTTGCTTTTTGTTGTTTTGCTTCTGTCTCTGTGGGTTTTTTTTTTCTTCTTTGAGACAGGGTTTATTGTTTTTTTTTTTTCTTCTTTGAGACAGGGTTTATCTGTGTCACTCTGGCTGTCCTGAACACACTATGCAGACCAGGCTGGCCTCATACTCAGAGTTCAGCCTACCTCTTCATCCTTAGCTGCCTAATTAAATCCTGCAGCACCACGACCACCACTTTTCACTCTTAGTCTTCCTGGCCTCAGCGACCTTACAGCAAGTGTTATTTGTTAAGGTAAAGGGATAAGCCTCAAATTCAAGAGCCTCAGCCCATGTAGCTAGTAAGCACACAAGTGTGAATTTCTTGATATCATTTGAAACATTTTGAGACAGGATTCCAGGTAGCACAGGCTGGTCTTGCACTACCAAGAATAAACTTGGATTTTTTTCTGCTCCTCCTGCCCCTAGTGTTCCAGTGTGGGATTGCAGCCGTGCACCTTGTCCACTCCAGGGCTGGGAGTGGAGGAAGTGTGTGTATGTTTGGGGCTAGAACACAACCTCAGACGTCAAGTCTTGGGCATCACTCACTTTGGTTTACCTGGAGCTCAGCAAGTGGGCTAGGCTTGCCTGCCAGAGAGCACAGAGATTACAAATGTACAAGCCTGATAATTCCTTGGAAATTGAACTCTGGTCCCTAGGCTTACAAGACAAACACTTTACTAACTGAGCCCTGGCACAAACCCAAAAGAGAGATGTTCAGAGTGCCTGCCAAAGCATGGGACACATGACAGATGGAGGACAGGGAAACTGGACACAAGAGAGGCATAGGACAGGGAGAGTTGAGGTTTAGTGAGAGGAGCAGAAGCCTCATGTACCTTTCAGAGCCTCTTTGATATAGGTTTTTTGGTAGAATATCCTTTGTGTGTCGTCTAGCGTAGGGCTGTTCAGCCCGTGTCCATTCTCCGTGATGTAAATGGGAATGTCGCCATATTCTTCCTTGATCCAGTTCAGCAGCCTCCGCATCCCCCAGGGCACGGCTGTGATCATTGACGGGGAGGTCAACGAAGAATCCATATCGCTGACCATTAGCTCACGGTCATCATCATAGTTGGGTGGGTTCAGCCTTGGGGTGCTGTGCTGCACAAACACGGACGAGTAGGTGTTGAGGCAGAAGACATCAGCGGTGCCCCTGATGTACGCCTTCTCCTCCTGTGTGAAGCTGGGCAGGCGGGAGCCCGCCAGGTGCTGCAGTTCACTCCTGTTCCCCACATTCCATTTCATGACATCTGGATAGTCCCCGTTTCTAAAAATGGGGTGGGCAAACCAGCCCAGGGAAAACTGCAGCATCCGGTCGGCAGCTTCCACATCTCTTAGGACCCCTGGGTCTTTGGGTTCCACCCAGTGAGTGTTGAGGTTCAGTGAGATGACCCCCTTCTGCTCCTGCCTGTATTTCTCATCATAAGTATGGTAGACTCTAGCATGAGCCTTGATGAGTGTGTGGCTGACCCTGTAAGGTGCCCAGCCGGGGTCCTGCACATTTGGGGGAAACACCCCTGAACCATAGCCAAACAGCGACACATACAGAGGCTCATTAAAGGTCATCCAGAACTTGACTCTGTCACCAAAGGTCTTAAAACAGAAGTCAGCATAGCTGTTGAACAAATCAATCAAAGAAGAGTTCTCCCAACCTCCAATATCCTGGAGGGCCTGGGGCAGGTCCCAGTGATACAGTGTCACCATGGGGAAGATGTTGCTCTGCAGCAAGCCGTCAATCAGCCTGTTGTAATAATCGACACCTTGCTCGTTGAGGGAACTGATAGTTCCAGTTGGGAAAATCCGAGGCCAGGAGATAGAGAACCTATAGGCCTTGACCTTCAAGGCGCGAAGAATGTTCAGGTCTTCATCCAGTTTCTTATAGCTGTCACAAGCTATGTCTGCGGTGGCATTGTCTTTCACGGTGCTCCCTGGACTGTGGGTGAAGTTGTCCCAGATGCTGGGTCCTTTCCCGTCAGCATCCCAACCTCCTTCGATTTGATAGGCCGAGGAGGACACGCCCCACAGGAAGTCATCTCTGAATGTGCCATGATAGAACAAGTCTCTCTCAAACTTGGGCTGGTTGGAGAACTTCTCCCACACGATTTTAGCCTGGGAGGGCACCTCAGATGGGGAGTTGTAGAAGGTTGTGGCTCTGGAGGAAAAGTCTGCTTTCATAGGCACTGGGGTTCTTCTCAGCTCCTTGGCAGGGAAACCATTCTTTTCAATGATGCCAGTGAAGAAGTGGGCAGATCTCCTGGCAGTTCTCGGCCTGCTGCTGTCACTAAAGTTGACATGGTACAGCCCGAACCTCTGGCTGTACCCTGGGGGTCCTTCGAAGCCATCAATGAGGGAACGAGCAATGTATGCACGGACATCCACCAAATCCTCCTTGACAGCTGTAAAGAGAAAACAAAGTCAGCCCTGTGCGAGTGCATGCGTGTGTGTGTGTGTTTGTGTGTGTGTGTCTGTGTGTGTGTGAAAGAGAGAGGGAGAGAGAGAGAGAGAGAGAAAGAATGCATGGGAAAACCAGAAGACAACCTCATTTGTTGTTCCTTAGGATCCCATCCTCCTTAGTTTTCCTTCCTCCTTTTTTAATTTGAAAATCATTTTTATGTGCATGGGTGTTTTCCCTGCATGTATGTCTGTGCACCACATATGTGCAGGGCATGCAGAGGTCAGAAGAAAGCATCAGGTTCTGTGGGACTAGAGGTTCAGAGGGTGTGTGAAATGGATTTGCTGCGGGTCCCCGGCAGCATGCTGTGGAAAGCAGCCAGTCCCAGGCAGGGACTGCACAGGAGACCAAGCAGCAGGAAGATGGCTGGTCCCCAGCAACCTTGTGGGCAGCTGGCTGGTCCCCAGCTGCAGATAGTGAGTCCTAGGACGGTGCAAGCCCCCAGCAGTGGGCAGCGGGAACAGCAGGTACTAGGCAGGGACAGTGCAGGAGGCCATGCCGGCAGGTGGCTTGTCCCTGGTCAGGCAGGGACGGCACCGGTGTCCATGTGGCAGTGGGGGGTGGGTAAGAGAGAGAAGGATAGGCACACCATACAGAGTGGAGTTGGACATTTATTTAGGGGTTAGGAAAGGGAAGGGAAAGGGCAGAAAGAAGGAGAGGGAGAGAGAGTGGCAGAACGGGGCAGGGGGAGAGGAGAGATGGAAGCGCCTCTCCAAGAGAGAGCCTATAAAGAGAGAAGAGGGAGAGACAGAAGTGAGGGAAGTGGAGAAGTGGGGAGAGAGTTGCATCTCCAAGAGGAAGATGGAAGAGAGAGAGAGCTCAGGCCTGAAGCTGAAGATCACCTGCCCCAGTGGATAGGAGTGGGAGTGGGCGTGGCTTGTCTCTTGAAGAGACAGAACATACAGTACAGTGTGAGTTGCCATGTTGATACTGGGACTTGAACTCATGTTCTCCAGAAAAGCAGCTGGTAGTGCGATGTTTTTACTCTTTTGGCTTTGGTGGCCACTAGCAAAACCCCTATTTAAATCACACATGAGACTTATACTTAGTTATGAATGCCCAGCCTTGGCTTGTTTGTAGCCAGCTTTTAAAAACTTATCCCAACTACCTTTTCCCTCTGGGCTTTTTCCTGTGCTTACTTCTTTATGTCTTCCTTTCCTCTGGGGCTGGCTGTGTTACTGGGTCTCTGGAACCTTGTGCCGTCCTCTCTTTGTTCTATTGCTTCTTACTCTTGCTTTTCCTCATTTCCCCTTCTATTTATTCTCTCTGCCTGTCAGCCCCGCCTATCCTTGCTCCTGCCGCCCAGTTGGCCATTCAGCTCTTCATTAGACCATCAGGTACTTTAGACAAGCAAACAATCACAGCTTCACAGGACTAAACAAATGCAACATACACAAAAGTCCTATGCCTTAAAATAGCATTTCCCAACACAGCCAGAGCTCTTAACCACTGAGCCATTTCTCCAGCTGCCACCTCCCACAACGACTCCAGCCTGACTCTATACACATTACAAAAACAATAACAAAGTGGCCCAGGCTGGCTTCAAACTCTGTGTAGCTGAGGATAAACACGAACTCCTGATCCCACGGCCTCCTCCTCCTGAGCATTGGTGTCACAGGCACACACTCCTTAGTTGACACAGTGCTGGGGACGGAACCCACAACTGTCAGATACTAGGAAAGAATCTACCAAGCCACATCCCAGGCCTATTTAACTATTTTTTTTAGAATATTTATTTTTTTATTTATTTATGTGTGCAATATTCTTCCTGTGTGTATGCCTGATGGCCAGAAGGGGGCACTATTACAGATGGTTGTGAGCTAGCATGTGGTTGCTGGGAATTGAACTCAGGACTTTTGGAAGAGCAGGCAATGCTCTTAACCGCTGAGCCATCTCTCCAGACCCCTATTTAACTATTTTTAAGACAAGCTCTCATTAAGTATTCCAGGATGACTTTGAACTCTCAATCCTCCTGCCTCTGATTCCAGCTGCTGGGGATAAAGGGATGCACCACCACGCCTAGCGACACGTGTCCCTAATAGGAAAGATCACACGAAGATGGAGGCATAGACTGGCGTGAAGCCGACCTCCCAACTCCATACAGACACTGTGGCTGATAAAGATAAGGAAGACTGGGCTAGGCTATTAACCCCGCCTCCTCTGATGGCCAAGTCTCTGCAGAGAGCATCCCTGTCCCTGCTCACTGGCTTCTGTGAGTGACAGCCATCATGAACTGATCTAGGTTAGTGACTGATATGTGGAAAACCCCTTGCCATCCTTTCCCACTTAGATAAGAAGATGCATTGGGTCCGACTGAGCATGTATGCACGGGTCACCTGCAGAACAGGGAGGTACAATGCAGACTGGATAGCAGCTGAGGGAGCTGGGCCTTGAAGGGGACAGTGCTCTGAGGGCAGTCAGTGGGCTGGGGTCCTGTCCTAAGTGTCAGTCCATGCTGTATCCCACTGTGGACTGAGTCTCCTCAGAAGAGATGACATTACTCAACTACACCTTTACTGTCGTACACAGATCCAGGCTCCTCGTGTTCTCAATTAACACTGATTACTAAGAGAGTGAGAACACAGACTGGAGAGGCTGAATTGGCTTAGGAAGTAAAGGCTCTTGTTGAGCAAGCCTGAAGGTCCAAGTTCAATCTCTGGTCTGTCCCATTACACAACTGTGAAGACTTGGGAATCAGCAGGTTAACCCTCTTACCCTTGAGCACCTCGTTGATGTACAGGTTGAAGTAGTTCACTCTCACCGAGTCGTCAAGGAGATCCTCTCCTTCCCCTAGCGGCATGCCATTCCCAGCCACGAAGATTGGAACTCTTCCTTTCGTGTATTGCATGGAAGCAAACCGAAGCAGCCTTCTTATGCCCCAGGGCACCACCCGGATCCAGGGAGATGCAGTCTGGGGCCACGTGGGGTCTACGTGCTGGGAGAAGCCTCCGATGTTATCATAGCTGGGGATACAGGTCAGCTGCGCAGCGGTGCTGACCAGCCGGGATGTGTAGTGAGACAGACCAAGGAAGTCCGCAGAGCCCTTCAGGAGCTGCTGCTCCGCTGCAGTGAACTCTGGGAGTTGGGCCAGAGGACCCCCACACTGCTGGTTTACCTGCTGGATCTGGGCCCGGAGGGTGGTGGGGTAGTTCCCATCCACAAAGATGGGGTGAGCGAACCAGCCCAGCATGAAGTGCAGGAAGCGCTCAGCAGCAGCAAGGTCCTGGGGACTCTCCCCATCCAGGGGCTCTGCCCAGTCAGAATTGAGCACGATGCCCACGCGTCCCTGCTGCTCTTGGCGATGGTGAAGGTCGTAGTGATGCCAAGTTCTGGCGTGCGCCTTTAGGATCAAGTGGGCCACCTCGTGAGGAAAGAAGGAGGAAAATAATGTCAACAGTGGCACCAGCAAGTGAGAAGTGTCAACAAGTTCCTGCTGAAGTCAGCAGAACCAGCAATGGGTCTGGGACATGGCAGGATTGGTAGACAGCCTCATATTCACAAAACCCGGGGCTCCATTTCCTGCACTAATGAACCTGGCATGGTGGTGCAAGTCTGCACTGACAGAACTCCGGACATGGAGCAGGAGGATTGCTTCTTCATCCTTGCCTGCATAGCAAGTTCAAGGCCATTCTGGACTTCGTTGGACCCTTCTTCAAACAAGGCAAAGAGTCATCACAGCTGTACCACAGAATGGAATGGTACTGACCACAGAGTGGTAAGGAACCAGAATCACTAGACTAAGGCCAATTGTGGAAATGCCACAAAACAAATACATAAGGCACCCAGCTGGTGTGGACGTGCACCAGCACAGGGAGGCAGAGGCAGCTGCATCCCTGAGTTTGAGGCCAGTCTTGTATAAAGAACACATTCCTGGACAACAAGGTCTATGTAGAGACCATGTCTCAAAAACCTAAAATGAAAAGAAAAGGCCCAATCATGGCAAGAAACGCTAGTGGTCACAAGAATCTCCCTGTCAACTTTTATTCAGGCTGAGTGAATGAAATGTGAAGCCGAAGGCTCAGGGTGGTAGTGTTTACAGAGGCCCTTGGGAGGCGACTGGATAGGACAGGATGAGGCTGTATCCTCATAGAGGGAGCCCCAGTGGCCATGCTCTGTGTGTCTGTTCCCACACCCAACTGCTCCCAATGTCTCCCCCTCCCAGAGGACAGACAGGAACAGATCCCACTGAAAACAAAAGCAGGTCAGTCAGTGCCTTGATCTCAGACTACTCAGGGGCTGGGACTCTGAGGAAACTGTATAAGCCCCAGCTGATGCTGTCTTGTCCCAGCAGCCATGACACAAGGAATTACACCACGAAGTAATACAGAGTAGGAACCGAAAGAGGACGGGTATGGTTCACGGTTCAAAGCACTTGGTTTGACACTCTTGAAGTCCAGGACCTCAGAGTCAAGGGGCATCATGTGATGTTGAGGGTGACCTTTCACCCACTGGACCACAAAAAGAAGAGGGAAGAAATAATAATTTGTGACGGTGAACACCGTCAACAGAATCTAGAACCATCTAGCAGACACCCGGGCAAGTCTCGGAGACAGTTTCTGAGGACGTTTGTACACTGGGTCTTTGGAAGTGGGAAGACCCAAGCTAGGTGGGCAGCACCGTACCATGCTGAGGTCCTGACCGGAATAAAAGGGAGAACTTGAACTGAGCACCAGTATCCATCCCTCAGCTTCCTGACTGTGGATGCGGTGAGACCCGCAGCCTCACGCTCCTGCCGCCATGTCTTCTTCACTATACAGGATTGCAGCTTAGAACCGTGAGCCAAAGAACCCTTCCGTCCCCAAGTGCTTTTTGGTGGTGGTATTCTTTGTTTGTTTGTATTTTCAGACAGTTTCTCTGTGTAGCCTTGGCTGTCCTATAGACCATCGTGGCCTTGAACTCAGAGATCTGCCTGCCTCCTGATTACTGAGATTAAAGTTGCATGCCACCACCACCCAGTCTGTAAGTGCTTTTGACAGGTGTACTGTCCTAGCAGTGAGAAAAGGAACTGCTACAGAAATGAGGGGAAATGAAGACGTTCTCAGCCTGTATATAATATACATAAAATATCACAGGAGACACTAAAAACACTCAGGAACTTCTCAACAATAACAAAAGCTTACCAAAGCCAGCTGTGGTGGCTCAGTGTGTACTTCAGAGGCTGAGGCAGGAGGATTTCTGTGTCCTGAAAACTGAAAACTGTGTGTTTCATGTTAGCGTGAGCTACAAACAGAGACCCATCTCAATAAACCAATGCAAATAAATAAACAAAATCTTAACGGCTATGACCACAGCTGAGTAATAGGCACAGAAGTACTTTCCTGAAATACAGAGCCCTGGGTCTACCCAATATAACTGGGCATGGGCGGCACATGTCTGTCATCACAGCACCAAGGAGGTGGGGACTGAAGCCAGGCCACATGTGTGCTAGGACAGAGCTCTACAGCTGAGGACAATCCTCCCAGCCCGGAACTTGTCTCTGGAGTCCAGGAGCCTTGACCAGGCCAGAGGGTGTGGCTCAGTTGGAAGACTGCTCACCTATTATAGAAGAAGCCCTAGTTCTAATTCTCATCCCTGTTTAAAGCTCAGGCATGGTGGGAGATGCCTGTGACCCCAGCTCTCGGGGGAAAACAAGCAAGAGGTCATGAGTTCAAGATCATCCTCAGTTACAAAAGGAGTTCAGTATCAGCCTGGGTGTGCGAGACAACACTAACACCACCTGCTTATCCTTCTCTCTCTGTTTTTCTCTCCAGGGCTGGGAGACCACAGCCTGCTGTGTCTTCTAATTGATAGGAGTTGAGGGATGGGAGGAAGTACCTTAAAAGAAGCCACTCCCGGGTCTGAGATGCCTGGTGGGTGCTGCCCAGTGCCATAGCCTGCATAGCTTATCACCCATGGCTCGTGGAAGGTCACCCACAGCTTCACACGGTCCCCAAAAGTGGAGAAGCAGAAGGCTGCATAGTCCAGGAAGGCATCCACCACACTCTCGTTCTGCCACCCGCCTTCATCCTGCAGGGCCTGGGGCAGGTCCCAGTGGAACAGCGTAGCCATGGGCTCGATGTGGGAGTCCAGCAGGCTGTCTATCAGTCTGTTGTAGTAGGCGACACCTTGTAGGTTGGGGCTGCTCTTCTGCCCAGTGGGGAACAGCCGGGACCAGGAGATGGAGAATTTGTACACCCCAGCCCTGAGGCCTCGGAGCAGGGCCACATCGGAGGCTGGTTTGTGGTAACTGTCACTGGCCACCTTTGCTGTCGCTTGGCCCTTGGCAGCGTTCAGGTCACTGTAGTGGTCCCAGATGCTCGGCCCTCTGCTGCCTTCTGCCCAGGCTCCTTCCACACTAAAGGCTCCCGTAGACACGCCCCAGAGGAATCCTTCTGGGAACACATCTTGCAGGAAGGCATCCCTTTCTGCCCTAGACTGCTTAGCAAAGGCTGCCCAGACTCTCTGGTAGGCTGAGACAGGGGAGGAGGGCACAACTGCTGTCTCCTGCTGCTCCTCAGTCTGAAAGGCCAGGCTGTCAGTTAGAGAACAAGATGGTCTGTGGGGTAGAGCGACATCAAGGGACACAATTAATGACTGAGTTACAAACGCCCCACAGGGTGAGGCATGGAGGCTCATGCCCTTATCTCAGCACTCAGGAGGCAGATGGGGAGAGATGTCTGTTAATGTGAGGACAGCCTGGTGTACAGAGTGAGTTTCAGCACAGCCAGGGCTACAAGTTAAACCTTACAAAGAAAAGAGAAGGAAGGGAAGATGAAGTAGACAAAGGAAGGAAGGATGAAAGGAAAGATGCAAGGAAAAGAAAGGAAGGAAAAGAAAGAAAGTAAAGAAGGAGCAGAATGAGCAGGAGGCTCAGGAAGAGGATGGTCAGGAGGAGGAGGGTCAGGAAGAAGAAAATCAGAAGGAGGAGGGTCAGAAGAAACAGAGCCAAGAGGGGACCATCTCTGTCTCAGCGCTGGGGTGACATGCATTCATTCATCATCATTCTTGGCTCTTTTTGCTTGTTCTCTGCTCAGGCTCCCATGCTAACAGAGAAAGCACATGACAGACTGAATCACTTCTCCAGCCCATTTGATCTGAGAACTTTTTAAAATAAGGATCCCTTGAAGCAGGCTCTGCTTCCTGTCGGTGCTGTGCTTCAGAAGTGTTCACATCTCACACTGAAGAACTGGGCTTGGGAATTTCATGAAGCTTTAGTGGGCTGCTCAGATTTGCACCTACTCTCTCTTTTTCTTCACTTCAATAAATTACTATATTTATTCACCTTTAACTATCATTATTTATTGCTGTGGTTTTTATATATGGAGGACTTCATGGGGTCTGTTCTCTTCCTCTGCACTTACATGGGACCTGGGCATCAAACTCAGGTCACCTGGCTTGCGTGTTGAGCTGCTCAGTTTTGTCAACCTGACACCAAGCTGGGGTCATCTGAGAAGAGGAAACCTTGAGTGAGAAAATGTTTATGTCTGGCTGGACTGTACACTGGTCTGTGGGCATCGTCCTGATGTAATGATGGGTGTGAGAGGGCCAAGCCAACTGTAGGTAGAACGACCCCTGGGTAGATGGTCCCGAGTTGTACAAGAAAGCAGACTGGGAGCTGGAGAGATAAGACAGCTCAGAGGTTGAGAGCACTGGTTGTGTTCTCAGAGGTTGTGAGTTCAAATCCTAGCACCCACATGTTGACTCAGCAATGTCTATGACTGTAGTTCCAACAATGCAGTGCCTCCTCTGATGTGCATACATGCAGACAAAACACACAAATTCATAAAGTAAGAAATCTTGAAAAATAGAAAGAGGACTGAGCAAGCCATGGAAAGCCAACAAGCAAGTAGCATTCATTTCCCAATGGCCTCAGCTTCAACTCTGCCTCGAGTTCCTGCCCTGACGCCCATCTTGGAGGACTGTAGGCTGTAAGATGAAATGAGCTCTGCCCTCCCCAGTTTGCTGTGGTCACTGTTTAGTCAGAGCAACAGAAAGTCAACTAGGACACAGGCAAGGGCCTTTCCCTTCTGAGGCAGGAGAGTCATTCATTCATTCATTCATTCATTCATTCAGAGTCTCTGTGTGTGGGGTGTGCACACGGCATGTGCGGAGACTTGGGCACAGGTGCCTTTACCCATGAACCATGGAGCTGGCTCCATAACCTGCTTTCTCTGCCACATATGTGCACACTTCCCCAGTATCCTATCTCAGCTCTGCTAAATATGCAGACCTAGGAGATCTGACAGTGAGGACGTTGGACTGTGTGGGCCCAGGCTCATCTCCACGAGCTACTGCTTCTCCAGCCTCCCTCTGAGCCTCCACCTCTCATCTCCTAAATGACTGTGGCCTGTTTGTTGTCCCCGGAGGCAAAGTCAGGACTGGTGAGATGGCTCAGCAGTTGAGACCAATCACTGCTGTTGCAGAAGGCCTGGGTTTAGCTCCCAGCATTCACATGGGAATTCTAGTTCCAAGGGATCTGTCCTTCTGACGTTCTGACCTCTGTGGGCTCACTCAGGCAGGTGGTGCACTACACACTCACTCAGGATCCTGCATGCGCACACTCATGCCTCAAACAAAACCAAACACAAGGACAAAGGTCCCCAGTGATTGCCCATGTACACAACAGAACCCATAGTAACCGCTCCTTCTTGTTAACGCACAAGTCAGCATTACCTCTCCTCAGAACGGGATGAGCAGCTCAGGAATGCACTGATGTCGAACCCAACAGTCTGTACTCGGTCTTTGTTTATGGCTGTAAGAAGAGAAGTTTGTTAACTGTGTGTGGAGCAGGAGCAGAAACTTGTAATCAGTAGTTTACCTCATTTTAAAACCACTCTAACCCAAGTGACGATGCTAAGCCCTTCTGAAGATAACATAGATGCATCTGGGCTGCTTAGAACTAGAATGTTGGTCCTCATATTTCAGGGTGAAAACCAGTGACCCAAAGCTTCAGAAGATAGCTGGACCCACCCAGGAGTCCTGGTCCCAGGAGGACTCAGGGGCAGTCTGGACTAGGCACGTGTTCCCACCTCTTTTTGGTACCCCCTTTTTTTGGTATTTTTTTGAGATATGGTTTCAAGATGTAGCTCTGACTTCTAGAACTTGCTCTTAGACGTCGATCGCTTTGAACTCAGAGATGCACCTACCTCTGCCTCCTGAGTACTAGGATAAAAAGTGTCTGCCCCTGCCAACATCTTGTGAAATTTTTGAAAAAGAAGGGTGTAGGCAGTTAATTGTTAATGTGCCATCTGGGTAAACATGTGGAATTAGCTCAGAGATCACTCTGGATAAGGAGCAAACTGTTCTAGAAGACCCGAGTTCAGTTTCCAGCACCCACTGCAGGAAGCTCACAACTGCTTGTGAGTAACTCCATTTCCGGAGGATCCAACAGCCTCTTCTATTCTCCTCAGGCACCTGCACCCACACAGACAAATACACACACACACACGCACACACACACACACATGCACACATGCATGCACCTAATAGACTGCCCTTGAGTTCAAGGCCTGGCAGGACTACACAGTGACCTCTAGACCACAGGTCCTACACCAGAGGTTTTCAGCATCTTAGATGCCTCCAGGGCTGCTCAGAACAGGGGAACACAAGTCTATGTTTCCATGCTGACAGTTCACACCTGAGTCAGGAACATGTCATATTGGACACCCTTGGCATCTATACAGGACCACCCGGTGTCCCCGGACAGGAGGAGCTCACTGCCAGGGGAGTTATAGGATTAGAGCCTCACCTGGTAGGCTCTTAGTTCAGCCATTTTCCTAGACCCCTCCCTCATGAGAACCCACGATGTCAGGATAGCTCCCCACAGGCCAGTGTAACAAATGTCACTCAACATTGGCCACATGTCGGTCCACTCACCTTCAAGCAGGCTGAAGAGCAGTGAGGAGGGGCTCTTCCCTGTGGATGGGCAATCCTGAACTTTTAGGGTATAGATGAAAACCTTCATTTTGGGCTCAACATTCTAGAAAAGGTGAAGACCAACAAATATGCCTTTAGTAATGGGAACAGGGGAGACGCTACATGCTCACCTTCTAGAAACAACCTCGAGTCACCCTACCTACAGAGGGCAGAGACTTGGACTCTGCAGAGCGACACTAGTCAGTGACCATCGGCCACCAGCCCTTCCTAAATGAAGTGATAACCATAGCAACTCATTTTAGACGGAGCACTTTATAGGCCAGCAAAAAGATTAGGGTTGAGACCAAGGTTTCTGCTTGTGTAGGAACCTGCACTTCCTAAAATGTTTAACCAAGAGACTGCATCACCATGATCATGAGTGTTCGTGATCATGTTATTGATTGCCATTATGTAAGGCTCAGGCCACGATTTAGGCAAATGTTTATCACATTTCTGATAAGCTGTCCATTCGCTATCATGATGGAAAAGCCCTCACATTACCTGCAGGTCACTCAGCTTCTGTGGTAGAGTCGCCACACTTTGGCATGTAGAAGTCAAATCAAGAGAGAGGAAGTCAACCGAGTCCTAGAAACAGGGAGATCAAGCATTAGAACAAGGCCTCCTCAGAAGTGTGCTGGTTTTCCCCATGACTGCGGATGAGTGTGCATGTGAGTACAGCAGGAGCGGGTGTGGTGAACCCGCAAGTGTGAAAATGTGTGTGCTGGGTGTGCGGTGCCAGCAAATGGAGGAGCACCAAGGGAGGGAATCAGTGTCTGGAGCTTCCCCCAGGGATCCCCCTCCCCTGACCTTTGTGATATCTGGGAACCCTCTTGGGTTTTGGGTTTGGTTTTCATTTCAGGCCACAGCTTGAAGTCCCCCACCCCGCGCCCTAGGTAAGCCTGGCTTGAGCAGTTCTACTAGCAGAAAAACAAGCTACACAGCCCTGATCACTCGCGCTCTCTAACCCATAGTCTAGCTAGGGACTCCAGCTCACTGAGCCTGTAGCTCACTAGGAAGAACGCTTGCTGAGCGTGTGCAAGGCCCTGGGTCTGTCACCAGCACCACATTAACAGGACATAGTGGTGCCTGTCTCTACTCCAGCATGCTCATCCTTGGCTACCTCATGAGTTCAAGGCCAGCTTGTGCAACAGGAAATCTTGTCTTATAGAAGAGGAGGAGAACAGTGAGAGGGCCTAGCAGCTACAGGTGTCTGCCCTCGACTCTGATGACCTGAGTTCACCCCATTGCACATGAGGGTAGAACTGAGACTCCCCAATTTCCCTCTGCTCTCCACATAAATGCCCTATGATGTGCACGCTTACATACAGACACACACCACACACAGATACACATAATAGACACACACATACAACACACAACAAATAACACACTTACACCACAGCACACACACATAAAATAAAAATGTAATGAATTTTAAAAAAAATCAAAGACAGTTGGGCAGTGGTTTTTCACACCTTTAATCCCAGCACTTGGGAGGTGGAGGCAGATGGATCTCTTTGAGTTCAATGCCAGCCTTTTCTACAAAGAAGTTCCAGGACACTCTCCAATGCTACACAAAGAAAGCCTGTCCCAAAAAAGGTAGAAGAAAGGAAGGCCAGGCGGTTTAATTCCAACCCTCGAAAGAGAGTGGGAGGTGGATATCTGAGTTTGAGGGTACTCTGGTCTGCACAGTAAACATTTTACAGCCAGGGCTACACAGAGAAACCAAACTCTGCATTGAAAAAGAAAAAGAAGGAAAAAAAAGAAAGAAAGAAAGGAACGGGCTGATTACTGGGCTCATTCAGTAATTTCTTTCTATGATTTCTGATCCCAGAATTTATCTCAAATCCACGAGCATGTCTTTTGTTGTTGTTGTTGTTGTTTTCTGTGCAGTCTTTCGCTGGTCTAGAATTCATTACGTAGGCTAGGTTGGCTTTGAACTTCTAGAGATCTCCACACATCTGCCTCCTAAGTAGTGAGACTAAGCACATGTGTTACCATGTTAATCCCAAGAGTTTGTCTTTAACCCTAATGCTGAAAGATGGAGATAAGCAGGTCCTGGGCGTTCCCTGGACAGTTACTCTTGTGGAATCAGTGTTTCCACAATCAGTTTCAGAGAGAGACTGAGACCCTGATTCCAAAAAAGGGCGAGGAGTAGAAAGTGACAGAAAAAGACACCCAGTGTTAGCCTCACAGATGAGCAGGTTAGTGCACCTGCACACACATGTAATGCATTCGTCAGTGCACACATGTACACACAGAGAAAAACAATCAAAATAGAAAACAAAGGATTTTGCCTGTTCTCTGGTTTACATATGCTAGAAGAATTTTAAATTCAGGATCTAAACATGGGAACACAGCACAGTGAGTCACACATGTGCAAACACACACACACCTGCCTCCGTATGCCTGGCTGGCCACTCTGTTGCTCTCTTGGCTGGAATATCACAAGCTCATCACTGCCCTTCCCTCCCACAGGTCAGCTGTTTCACACATAGGTCAGGCACCAACTGAGAGCCAAGTGTCCTATGCCCTAGCACCCAACCCTCACTGGCTCCCCAGTGTCTTCCTATCAAGTGATCCCCAGTGTCCATCAGATTTCACATCTGACAGCTCAGGAACTTGAAAAGTAGCCACGATAAGATTCTGAATAAATAAATCTCTTGCTGACTGGATGCCATCTAAATTAATTTACTGCGTAATAATTGCTATCGAGAGACCAAAGGGCTGATCATAAAAATGCTTGTACAAGCAAAAATAATAATAATAATTCCTTGTCCCGTAACAGCCTTTGCCCCATGCATGCAGCACAAAGCTCAGGGTAAAACCCAGGAGGACAGTGTGTGTTTTCCTTCTGGGAAGTGCAAACCCCCAGGGCCTTCAATGGGCCTGAGCAGTGTGTGCCTCTCTCTGGCTCTAGACTCCTGCTTTGCCCGGTGTCTATCCTATGCTGGCACTGGATTCCTAACATTTTACATCATCCCTACCTTCACTGGTTTCCCTCCTTTTCTATTTCTTATATTTCCAGCAAAATTCTCCTTACTGTTAACACCACATAAAAGTGTCCTCCAAATACAGGCAGTGGTGGCACATGCCTTTAATCTCAGCACTCGTGAGGCCGAAACAGGTGGATCTCTGTGAGTTCATAGCAAGTCTGGGCTACAAACTGAGTTCCAGGACAGCCATGGCTATACAGAGAAACCAGTCTCAAAAAATAAAAAGAGTGTCCCCCAATGGGAGGCTCTTACCTGGGCTCCCCTCTCTCCTGAGGTGCTCTTTCTCCACTGGCAACTATTAGCTTAGACTAGTAGAGACCCTGGGCTGGGGATGTGGTCCAGGAGGGATGTTTGCCTAGCATGCACACCCTAGCGCGAAGGAAACCAGGCATGGTGGTTCATGCCAATAACCCAGAACTTGGGGATAGAGGCAGGAAGATCAGGAGAGTTCAAGGTCATCCTCAGCTATACAGTGACTTAGGCTAGCCTGAGATACATGTGGCCCTTTCTCAAAAACAAAATGAATAAGCAAATAAAGGAGTGAGTAAGTAAATAACAATTACTAGAGGAAATGGTGGGGACACCTGAGTCTTAGCACCTTGATATATTTTTCTCTCTATGTGAGTATGTGTAGACTATGTGGGTCCCAGGATTTATATTTGTTTTATTTTGTTAGACACAGAGTCTCAGTATGTATCTGCTTGGTCTACAATTCACTAGGTAGCCCAGGCTGGCCCCAAAGTCAAAAAGATCCTCCTGCTTTTGCCTCTTAAGTGCTGAGATTGCAGGCATGTGACACCATGCCTGTCTAAACTTTGGTTTCTCAATGGAGCCAGGCTAAAACATGACAAATCAAGAGCCAGGCCTATTTCCTTTGAAGTTAGCTACAAATCTTGGGAACGGGTATTGTTTAGAAGAATTTATAGAGATGTAAATCAGGGCTGGGTTTGTAGCTTGGTTAGTCAAGTACTTGCCCAGCATCCACAAAGTTCAACGAGAGCACTGCATCACCCAGATGTGTGTCACATGCCTGTAATCAGGCTGTAGCACTCAGGAGCTGGAGGCAGGAGGCTCCCAAGTTCAAGATAATCTTCTGCTGAATACTGAGTTCTAGGCTACTCTGAGATACATAGGACCCTATCTCAAAAATTTAAAACTAACTAATAATAAAAGCAAAGATGCAAACAAAATCTCACTTTTAGCAAATCACAATTTAGCCAGGCATGCTGGTGTGCACTGTTAATCCCAGCACCTTGGGAAGCAGAGGCAGGCGTTTCTGTGAGTTCGAGGCTTCTTGACCTACATAGTGAGACTGAGGGAACAAGAGCATGACCATCTACCTTGGAGACACCCCCATTCTGGTCTGAATAGCACCGCATTCTCTGTGATTAATCATATCCTAAGGACCAACCCCACCCCTGTCCCACTCATGGGACTAACAGTTCCAATTTCCCTAAGGCAATGCCATGAAGTCAGCACAAGTAGCATTCCTGTATGTCCTAGATTAACAACAACCCTGGCCAAACCCACCCTCTGCCCTTTGACCAACCCTCCTCCCCATCCCTGATAAAATCCCTAGCCCCGTGGGAGAAGCTCAGTCTGATCTTCTCTGGTGACAGCCCTTCTCAGGTTGACTTAAATATACCTGCGCCACTGCCACTGAGCAGCCTCGCACTCTTTTCCTCTTACACATGCCTCATCTCAAAATAAATAAATACAATCACATTTCACCCTAGGCATTACAGATGCAGTATCTACCTTGGCGAGTGCAGCCCAGGATGGGGAGAGCAGGAGCTCGGGAATATCTTCAGCCTTCAGGACCACAGAGAGCCTTCCTCCTGGAACCAAACAGGAAAGAGCAGTAGTTGAGGGAGGGTTGGGGTTTCTGAAGATATAGATCAGGACCATGACTTCTCTTTAGCAACTGACAGACTCTAGAAAACAAAGTGGCTAAAAATACAATATCTCACTAAGAGAGTAGTTTGTTTTTTATTCGGATTTTGTTAGGCAATATCTTACTTTGTGACCGTGGCTGTGCTGGAAGTCAGCTGGCCTTGAACTTACAGAGGTCTGCTTGCCTGTGCCTCCCGAGTGTTTGGACTAAATTCATGTGCCACTATGCATGGCTAAGAGACTATTTTGTTGTTTGAATCAATACAGAGAGCACTTGGAAAAGGCAGGATACCAAGAATTATCCTAAAGTGTGTTCCCAGCCCTTGTTCAGCCTTTCAAAAGGTACAACTCAATGATGAGCTGCCAGTGTCAACTCTTCTTGTTGTTTACAGTGGGTGGGGTTCCTGGCGTTAGCTGGACTGCTTCCCTGTGCTGTGTGTGCATCTGCATTCCCACTCTTCTTCCATAGCTGCTGCACCCTTGTACATTCTATACAGGGCGGTACAACCTTGCAGCTCCTCCAGGTCCCCATCAAGGTCTGCCTCATAGCCATCCTAATAGGTAGGAAGTGGACACTCATTATGATTTTCATTTGAATTTCTCTAACGGTTATTGATGTTTCATGGGGATTTTCTTGTTGTTGTATCTGTTTGTCCATTTCCATATCTTCATTCTAGGGATGTCTACTAAAGTCCTTAGCCTTTTATTGGGAGTGGGGGTAGCACAAGTGGTAGGGTCTCACTATGCTGTCCCAGGCTGGCCTCAAATACATAATCCTCCTGAGTATTGAGATCATTGGCCTATCACTATATCTAGCTCCTGCATCCTGTTGTTCTTAAGTGGACTTTTTTATCCTGGCCAGGTGTGACACACACCTTCAATCCCAACATTTGGAAGGCAGTCAGGTAGATCTGAGAGTTCAAGCTAGGCTGGTCTATACAATAAGTTCAAGGACAGCCAGAACTAGACAGTGAGACCCTGTCTAAGGGGGAGGGGGATACTTTTCTTTTCTTTTCTTTTCTTTTCTTTTCTTTTCTTTCTTTCTTTCTTTCTTTCTTTCTTTCTTTCTTTCACCGTTTCTTGCCCAGGTTTTCCTGGAACTAGCTATGTAACTGAGGATGACCTTAAGCTGTCATTCATTCCTCTGGCTTCCATCTCCTTGGTTAAGCTTTGATGGGAATACAGCACAGGGCTCCATACATGTACAAATCAAATGTAGACCATTAAGTGGTCTACAGACTTAATAACTACTTTCTCAGTCCTTGCTGCTCATTTTACTTGTGTCATTTTAGCTAACTAATTAATTTGTGAATCAGGATCTCATGTGTCTCAAGACGACCTTGAACTTCTGGTCATCCTGCTTCCACCTTTTCAGTGCTTGGCTTACAGACATGTGTCACTATGCCCAGTTCATGCAATGCAGGAATTGGAACCCATGGCTTCCTGCATGCATGGCAAGCACTCTGCTATGCAAGCACTCAACCGTAGTGCTCATTTAAATTTTGTTTGTTTTTTTGAGACAAGGTTTCTCTGTGTAACCCAAGCTATCCTGGAACACACTCTGTAGACCCTCAAATTCAGATATCCACCTGTCTCTGCCTAAAAGTGCTGGGATTAAAGACTTGAGCACTATGACCAGATAAAAGCTAACTTCTTCATATTCACATTGTATATAAAAATTTCTATCATTTAAAATTGGCAGAAAAGGATAGAACAGCAACATTGTAGCAATAGGTGTAAACAGCATTATTCTTTAAAGTCTTTTTTAAAAGCTGCTATTTTAAAACACTGGCTTCACTGTTATCTCTTTTCTTCTACACCCTTCCTAGGGTCTAGATGGTCTTGAACTCACAGAAATCTGCACACCAGGTTGACTCTGAACTTACAATCCTCACACTCAGTCTTTCAAGTGCTAGATTTAGAGACATGCACCTCCACACCTGGCTAATTTCAATTTGAAGGCGGTATCAGAAGGAATGATCAGAAGGTGGCAAGAATTTACACACAGCACTAGTCGCTGCGATGTACTCTGTTCCTAGTAAAAATAAGTCAGTACAGTTGTAGATCTAGCACTTGCCTCTCGTGGGCAAGGTCTTAGCTTCAGTCTCCATCGTACATTTACAAATCACAGTCTTCTCATTACACATCGGTGTGTTATTTATCTTTACCTTGCTTGATGCACTGTAAGCTCCAACTAAAAAGTACACACTTGTTTCCTTAAGAGAAGGGGAATCACAATTGGGTCTCCTTGTAGAGACTCAGGACAGCACTGTCTCTCCAAGGCAGCTCCAGCTTAAAGGAGCTATCAGAAGAAAGTGGGAGGAATCCTGACTTTATAAACTTCCCTTCAAGGAAGGGCAGAGAAAGACAGTTGCACAGACTTGACCTGAGGAAGGGTCTAGAAGATAGTTTTCAAGGGCTGGAGAGATGGCTGAGCATTAAGAGCACAGGCTGCTCTTCCAGAGGTCCCTGGTTTGATTCCTGGCACCCACATGGCAACTCAAAACCCTCAGTAACTCCAGTTCCAGGGGATCTGAGGGCAGAGGCATGCACATGGTACTCAGACAAACATGTGGAGAAAACACCCACATATCTAAAATAAAAATAAAATCACACACACGGCCGGGCGGTGGTGGCGCACGCCTTTAATCCCAGCACTCGGGAGGCAGAGGCAGGCGGATCTCTGTGAGTTCGAGACCAGCCTGGTCTACAAGAGCTAGTTCCAGGACAGGCTCCGAAACCACAGAGAAACCCTGTCTCGAAAAAACAAAAAAACAAAAACAAAAAAAAAATCACACACACGCACAGACAGACACACAATTTTCAGGAGCTTAGGATATGGCTCAGTGGTTAGAGCGCTTGCCTGGCATGCACAAGCCCCAGCCCTACATAAAACTGGTTGTGATGGCTTGTCTGTCATCTTAGAACTCAGGATGTGATTTTGGGAGGATCCGAGGTTCAAACTTATCTTCTGACCTCACAGTGAGCCAGCCTGGACTACAAGAGACACTATCTCAAAGGGAGAAAATGTGTTTCAAACAAATGCTGTGTGTTTATATCTTTGTCCCCTTGGGAATGAATTCTCACCAATGCTGAGATCTGGGGTCTCCTGGAAGGGCAGAGATGGGAGAGACATCAGTTCCTGCCTAAGAAGCAAACAGAGGTGGGTGGTGAGGGCTGCTGCCGGGCCACCATGTCCTTGTGTACTCACCCTGAGAAGAGAACTCTCTGTGGTAAACTTCAAAGGCTTTCTTGTGGGCATTGCTGAGGGTTTGCAGAGCAGAATCTTTCGAACCCTGGGGTGCAAGACCCATGATCACTTTCTCCAAGTCGCTGAAGGTGAACCAGATCTCAACAAGGTCCCCAAAGGACTGGAAGGCGAACGTGGCATAGTCGGCAAAGAGTTCAGCAAAGTCCCTGTCTCTCTGGATGGTGCTGCGGGTGGGTGGCGTCTGGTGGCACAGGACCACCATGGGCTGAAGCTGGGCAGCCTTCAGGGACTGCAGGAGTTGTCGGTAGCACCGCACTGCTTCCTGGTCTGGATTCTTGGGGCTTCCCGTTGGGAGAAGCTGTGCCCACGATAGAAGTACTTTGTAATGGGTGACCTGACTGGCACGGAGACTGCTCAAGTACTGTGGCAACAAAGAGGGCAATGGCTGCTGGCAGATGTAGAAGTCCTTGCTACCAGGTCCAAAACCAGAGCCCTGGGTTCCCAGTGGATGGCTCAGGTTAAGCACTAAGTCATTTGTAAGAGGACCAGCGGCTGAAATAAAATTTCTGTCGGGTTCCAGGTCAATCCCCTGGCATGAAAGACTCAGGAGGACAGTGCTCAGGAAGAGTGCTGTCCAGGGCAGATCCATGTTCAAGGGTCTGTTAGAAGCATGTGGAAAGAATCCAGACCTTATAACACTGATGAGGCTATAAAATACAGTGATTATCCACACAATATTTAACTGTGTTATCTATGATCATTAAATTAGGACTGGGTTCAACCAATGCAATCTTCAGGAAAAAAAAAAGTTTTGTGCTTCTGTATACATGTTCATGAACTTGTGTATGCACAAACATGGAGGCCAGAGGTAGATCTTGGGCGTATTCCCCGATTGTGAGCGCTAGGGAGCTGCCTTCCCAGCCTCTTCAGTGCAGAATTACAGTTGTGTCATCACACCTGGCTTTTTACAAGAGCACTGAGCATCAAAACTCAGGTCCCCATTGCTGTACAGCAAGCACTTTACCAACTGAACCATCTCCTCTGCGGTAATATTTAAAAATTTAAATACCACGAGATGTTATTGGGATTGTTAGGGTGTGTGAACTGTGACAGTCCCAACAAGCTAGGTTCAGGCACTGGTTCCCCCAAATGCCAGACATGTAACACTGAAAAAACACAAAGAATTATTCAGAGTGGACAGAATGGAAAGAAAAAAGAGGTATGTTGAACTTCTAGGGCTATTTTCATGGTCCTGATATGAGTTTTGCTAATTTTCTTTTTTTTAGATTTATTGCCAGGCAGTGGTGACATGTCTTTAATCTCAGCACTCAGGAACTCCTTGAGTTCCAGGCCAGTCTGGTGTAGAACTGGCCTGTGAGTTCCATGACAGCCAGGGCAACACAGAGAAAACATTACATGCACACCAGGTAGGCTCAGAGGCTAGAAGAGGGTGTCAGATCCCCTGGAACTGCAGTTATACATGGTTTTGAGTCACCATATAGATGCTGGGAATCAAACCGGGTCCTCTGCTGAGCAGTTCTTAACCAAGGCACAGCTCTCCAGTCCCTGAGGCTTAAGGTTAAATAAAGGGCACAGCTCAGAAGTTCTGGTCAAGGTATGGCCCTGCCCCTCACTGACCAGTTTCTCAGGCAGTCTGAAAAGTATTATCTGTGTGTTTGTGTGTAGTTCCTTCCCGGAAGATAAGCTCCCTCCCTGATTGGAACTCAATTTCATCTTTTGTTCTTGCCCTATGCCAAGGCTGCATGGAATTCCAGGGGAAATCCTAATTCCATGGGCTTCTGTTCAAACTGTTCTCTAGACATAGGAATGGGGTTGTAGGTCTCCCTCCTAAGAATGAAGGTTACACCAACAAACTTCATACAAGGACAGGAAGTTGAAAATTCCTGAGCAAACCAGATGAAATTTGACACAAGAAAAATGAACCCCTCTCTCTGAAAACAGGAACACAGTCCAGCGGTGGTGGCCTTTAACTACAGCACTCGGTAGGCAGTGGTAGGAGAAAGAGGGGGGAAACACAGTAGGAATGGTGATGCCCATCTTTAACTCAGTACTCAGAAGGCTGAAGTAATGGATTTGTGAGTTTTAGGCCAGTCAGAGCTTGTTAGACCACCTAGAAAAACCAAAGTTCAGACAAACAAAACGGGATAGGAATGGAAAGACAGCTCAGTGATTTAAGAGCACCTGTTGCTTTAGCAAAGGACCCAGGTTTGCTTTCCAGCACCCAAGTGGTGAGTTACCAGGAAATCTGAAGCCTTCCTTTGACCACAGGCACCAGAAGCATGGAACATATACATACATGGAAGTAAAACACTCACACACATAAATAAATCTTGTAAAAGTAGGAAGCAACCCTTCTCTATATACATGTGTACATGTTATTATGTGCATGTGTATTCATGTGGAGGGAGGGGGAAAGCCTTGGTCAGGCATCACAGATGAGATCAGTTGGCACTCTCCCATGTTCGTCCTGGGGATCAAAACCACGTCCTCAGGCTTGTACAAGTTTTTTATCTGCTGGTCTAGCAGGTCCCCTTTTTATATTCAAGCTGGGTCATTCACTGGGTTGGGAGTTATCTAGTAGGCTGCCTGGCAACACCAGCATCTGCAACTCTTCTTCCCCAGAGCAGAGATTACAAGTATACAATACCACATCCAAGTTTATTTTATTTACTTTCCATACTCAGTTCCTTGTTGTTTGAGGGTGAAGAGGTAAGTATTTTAACGAGTGAGCTACCTCAAAAGCCAATATAAAAACTATGAAGTTTTCAAACCAGGTAGTGGTGGCACATACCTTGAATCCCAGCACTTGAGAGGCAGAGGCAGGCGGATCTTGAGGCCAGCCTGGTCTACATAACGAATTCCAGGACAGCCAGGACTACATAAAACTTGTCTTGAAAAATAAAACAAACTATCAAGTTTTCATGACCACCTTAAAATATGATGAAGAGTTTTCAAGTGTCTCTAAAGGTACATGTGAAGTCAGGTGTGGTGGTACATTCCTTTAATCCTACTACTGGGGAGACAGAGGCACTGAGTTCCAGGCCAGCCAGAACTACATAGTAATACTGTCATTAAACACACACACAACACACAGAACTCCTTAGTGAGACTGTCTTTACACACATACAAACCACAAGAAGCCTACTTAAGTATTTTTCTTTCTTTTTTGAGAGAGGAATTCACTGTGTAGCCCTGGCTGTCCTTTGAATTCAGAGATCTGCCTGCCTGTGCCTCCTAAATGCTGGTATTAAAGGCGTGTGACACCTCTGGCCAGCTTTATTTACATATTTCTCTAGTTTGTAGAATTCAATTACTACTGTACATATGTGCAGCAGCATACCGTGGAAGTCAGAGACAACTTTGTAGAGGGGCTTGCTTTTCACCGTTGTTTCGAGGGATTGAATAGGTTGCATGGCAAGTGTCTTTAGTTGCTAAGCTATCTCAACATTTTTTAATTTTTATTTAAAACTAAAATTTAGCCAGGCAATAGTGGCCCATGTCTTTAATTCTAGCACTTGGTAGGCAGAGGCAAGCTGATCAAAGGCAGCCTAATCTAGAATAAGGTTCCAGGACAGACTCAAAAAAACAACCAAAACAAATTGTGTGGATGAATGTTTTGCCTGTAAATATGTGCATTACTAGTCCTATTCCTCGAGTGCCATTCAACTTAAATAAACAAACAAACAAACAACAACAAACTTGGGTCTCTCACTGGCTTGGAACTTGCCAAGTATGCTATCAGGCCCCAGGGACCCTGCCTGTTTCTACCTCTCCAACAAAGGAATTATATCCCCAGATATTTTGCATGGGTGCTGTACTGGCTAGTTTTATGTCAACTTCATACAAGCTCAAGTCAGCAGATAGGAAGCCTCAACTGAGAAAATGTTTCCATTAGATAAGGCTGCAGGAAAGACTATGAAGCATTTTCTTTTTAATAATTCACAGGAAAGGGCCCAGTTCATTGTGGGTGATGCCACCCTGGGCTGGTACTCCTAGGTTCTAAGGCTAAATAAGCCGTGGGAAGTAAGCTAGTAATCCATGGCCTTTGCCTCCTGATTCCTGCCCTTTTAGAGTCCCTGCCCTAAAAACTTTTGATAAACAGTGCTGGAGAGGTGAGAGAGAGAAGAAATGTGGACTTACAGATAGGAAATAAGAAAAAAAAAAAAAAAACAGAACGTTACCAAGAAGACAGCCTGGTCTATAAACTGAGTTCCAGGACAGCTAGGGCTGTTACACAGAGAAACCGTGCCTCAAAAAATAATAAAAGAAGAGGAAAAAAAGCAAGCAAGCAAGAAAATGCAGGGTTTTTTTTTCTTTTTTTGTCTTTGTTAATGCCAGGAGGTATAAGTCAAATAAACCCTTTTCTCCCCTGATGGAGGTGGGTTTTGTATCTTATCTGTTGCTTTCATTGGTTAAAATAAAGAAACTGCCTAGGCCCATTTGATAGGCCAACCCTTAGGTGGGTGGAGTAAACAGAACAGAATTCTGGGAGAAAGAAGCTGAGTCAAAGAGTCGCCATGATTCTCCCACTCCAGACAGACGCAGGTTAAGATCTTTCCTGGTAAGCCAGCTCGTGGGCTACACAGATTATTAGAAATGGGTTAGATTAATATGTAAGAGCTAGCCAATAAGAGGCTACAGATAACGGGCCAGGCAGTATTTAAAAGAATACAGTTTCCGCGTAAGCTGGGAGCTGGGGCAGCAGGGAAGCGGCCTGCAGCTCCATCAACACTCCCCTACTTGCTTTCTGGTCATAGTGTTTCATCACAGCAACAGTAACTGTAAGACAGGCCTTTAAAACACTTCACTAATGGGGCTTTCTCCCTAGTCCCTTTCAACTCTGTAGTTAGTTATGGATGGTCTAGAACTCGCTATTACCAACTACCCCTTTGAGATAAATTCTAGTCTATGATTTGTCTGCCTTAGCTACCTAGGAGCTGGGACTACAGACGCGACCTCTCATATAACAGAAAAGGTTGCTCTCTAGCTGGGTGGTAGTGCCATGACTTCAGTCCTAGCACTCAGAAGGCAGAGGCAAGTGGATTTACAGGAGTTCAAGGCCAGCCCTATCTCAAAAAAACCCAAAACAACAACAACAACAACCCCGTCTCTGTTGGCAAACAAATGAAATCAATCCTGATGACCGGAGTAAAATCTAGGAAATCCCATGTGCCAGGAAAGATTTACTATCTACAATTTCTCTTGGGATTTGTACACAGATGCCACAAGCATGCATACCCCCACCAAACAAATAAATTTAATTTAATAAATAGTCTATTTCTTCTAAAAAAAAAAAAGAAAGAAATTATTACCAAAAAAATTACCCTTACCTTAGGACAGAGAAATAAATCAGTACTGAGTAAATGGTAATAGTCTTTATATCAAAAGCCAGATGTAATGGCACACCTACAATCCCAGCACTCAAGTTAAAGCAAGAGGATCAAGCATTCAAGATTAATAACAGGCTACTTGGGACCCCATACACCTGCCACTCAAAAAAAGCAAAATAAACACAAGAAACTTACTCATGGAAAGGGAGGCAATAATCAAGAGCACAAATGAATCCAACAAACAACTGCAGAACAAGTTATTTTATTTTCATGAATAAAAGCAGTAGTTGGAAACAGAAGAAGGCAATTTCCAGATATGTATATGACAAAAGCAGCAGGCTTTCCTAAACATGAAGACAAAGGTATTACAGAAAGAACATGATTGGGTTCTGACTTCAATAGGACAAGAAGCACAAAGTGCGGAAGCCTGTCCCAGTAGGAGGCTCACAGGGTCATGAATTCAGCTCTCACTCCTCAAAATCACTCCAGAAACAGTCTCTCCTGAGTGTCACCAGGCTCTGGTGCAGAGGTAGGGCACCACAAGTCCTTGTGTCTGGCTGTACAGTTACCTTCAATATCTCAATCTTCAAGCAAGTAGTTAGGGTTGACTACCAAGTAGGGGTCTTCCTCAAAGCTCTCGCTTTCTTCCGTGGAGCCTTTCAGTCCAGCCTGTGTAAGCTCAATCAGAACGTGATCCTGTGGAACAGTTTGTCTTCAGTCCAACTCTTTTAAATGTCTGCTACTTACATTCTCTTGTTTCCTGTCCGAAAGCCCTTGGACCAGAACCACCCCTTAAAATCAAACCAGTGTTCTCAGCTCCATTCTTACAGGATGCTGGCCTTTACTTAGAACTGCCAGAAAAAACTAAGACACTCAGCAGGTACTGTGATTTTAATAAGATATCCTTCACATTTTATTAAATGCTTGTTGATGTAACTTCAAAAAAGGAAACTGCTTGAATTTTAAGATTATACAATTGTATAAAATTCTCTAATATCTAAATCTGTTTTAGTCTTATTTACTGTTACCAGTTAATTTTTAATTACTGCTGATAAGCCCTTTTCATTCACTCCCCTCCCACTTTCTGAGACAGTCTACACAGCCAGACTAGCCCGAAACTTACAATTTTCCTGCCCTTAGTCACTTGAATGCTGGGATTTTAAGTGTGTGTGTGTCATCAGCAAGATTCTACTCCCCTTTTTCCTTTTTCTCTTTTTTTTAAACCAATTTATTCTGAAGAGTTCTTAGGCACTTGATGTGGGTGCCGCAAATCAAACCCGGGTGCTCAGGGAGCACATTGCATGCTCATCACCATTGAACCATCTCTCCAGCTCTTATTTATATTTATGAGATATCATACACAGGGCCTTTCACAGGCTAGACTGATTCTACTTCTAAGTGGACTAACAATGGGTCAAAGATGCTATGGTAGTATACACCTTGTAATACCACCACTCAGGTGGCTAAGGCACAAATACCTTGAATTCTAGGCTAGCGTAGGCTTCACAGTAAGACATGATCTCCAAGTAAACAAACAACAAAACATCTAAACATAATTTACCTGGAAATTTTCTCTCTGATCAAGTAAAAATAAATGTAGAACATGTTATCTGCCCTCTTCTTTCCCAGCCCCTAAACAATCTTTGCCAAATAAAATGGAACAATTCAAACAAGACTGTTACTGGATTGAGGAAGATGAAACAGGTGATGCTAGAGGACTAGCTGAGAACTTACCAGACAGCAGTGTGTGAATGGAGTTTACAGGGTGAAAATAAAGGTAACTACAGCACCACACAGGGGCTATAGATACAGCATAGACCTAAGGCTGACCAGCACATACAAACCCAGAATTCAATGCCAGTATAAAGACACCACAAATAAGATTCAAAAGCTACTTGTTCAGCTTTTACCTAAATCCTGCTTATTTTAGTAAAAGATGTACGTTCCTTGTTGTTAATTCTCCTTAACCACAAAACCCCAATGATTCAAAATACACAAACTCATCAAAAAGCCTACAAAGCAACCTGCGGATATAGGGACTCCCCTTACCCTGGAGCCCAGGCAGTGGATACATACGTAGTGTGTTAGACGATGAACAACCTTCTCTATGATCCTCTTTTTATTTATGAGCTCCTCTTCAGAGTCTATTTCTGACTCAATTTCCTTCAGGTACCAATTAACAAGCTCACTCCTCTTTAATGCTGACTCGTCCTCCTCTACAGCAAAAACACATTATTTAAAAGAACTGATATTTAACAAACTGCATTGCCAATTCATGGTGCATGCACGTGCACAAACACACACATGCAACAATAACAACAAAACAAACAAAAAAACCTTAGCTTTGATTATAGAAACTGCAAAATAAGGTGCAAGAGTTATGGCTTTGGTTTAGAACATGTGCTTAACAAGTACCAAAAACTGGGTTCAATCCTTAGTACCACACACATACAAAAGATATAAAATCAGGTGTTAACTGTAAACTCCTCTTCAGAGTACTTCATTTTCTTTGTTCTTTTGAGGTGGGGGGTCTTCTCACTATATAGTCTTGGCTATATGTAGACCAGGTTTTAAACCTGCCTCTGAGTGCTAGGACTAAAAGTGTAGGCTGTCACACCCAGCCAGAATCTACTTCTGATTCAATTTCTTTCAAGTATTAGGTGAAACCAGCTGTGAAAGTCTCCAGCACAGATTAGATTTTTGCATGATGAAAGAAGCCTAAAAGCTACCAGAGTTATCCTTGGAACTGTTCAGTCCCAAGCACACACATTGGGCAGCTCACAACCTACTCTAACTCTTGCTCTGAGGGATCCAAATGCCCTTTTGATTTCCATGGGCACCCATACACAAAAAGAATCAACTATAACTCTAACAGATGATTGTTTTCCTTCTGCTCACAGCTAACTGGAGAATGGTGAAACTCATAATCACAACAATCAATTAAGGGTAAGAACTGGGCCAGTGTTCCAGCAACCGGTACTGATGGGCAGAGGAGGATTTTATTACATTTGTGGTAGCTATACAGGTTTCTTGAGTTCAACTTGCTTGTAACGGAGAGACCATTTGTTGGGAAGAAAACAACTATTGTAATTTAACCTGCAAAAATGTTATGTTCTTTATATGATCAGATCTAAAGATTCTGCTTCAATATCATAAATACACGAACAGGAATGGTCTATAAGTCAACATAAATGACCATCTCTTCTGATAGAACACAATGCTTAACATCAGAAGTGGCAGAAATAAATAGCATGTCAGAATGACAGCAAGTACACAGTGGAGAGCACATACTCACCTTCTTCCATTTTCCTGAGGTGGAGCACAATGAGGTTAGAGATTCGGCAGTACTCAGCAAAGCCCAGCCTCAGGGAGGGCTTGGAAACAGGTTCCTGATTGGCATCTTCACTGGGACCGTTGATCCCATTCACAGGGGCTGGGCTGTCAGCATGACCTAAGGAAAGAAGTAACCACCTGATTGTCTTTGTGCCTTTAACATGCCCTCATCTAGCATTCAGGCACAAACTCCTTAAGCTTAACATGAACTTCAGAAAACAACCATTTAATAAATAAATTTGGAACAAATTAATATCCTATTAGTGAAGACAACTCACTTGGGAGGAATATTAGGGATGGAGGTCAGAGACTTTATTGATATTTGATTGGCAGCAAGGCATGGTTGTGCACAGCTTTAAACCCAGCACTTAGAAGGCAGAGACAGGCGGATCTTTGTTTTTGTGGCCAACCTGGTCTACAGAACTAGTTTGACGACAGGCTCCAAAGCCAGAAAAAAGAGGCTGAACCAGAAGACAGAAGCTATAAATTTAATATAGTTTAGGCTACCTACCTAATGACATTTCCCCCCTGCATCCACTAGTCAATTTGCAGTGTTATGAACAAAAGCAATCTGTTATTCACCTGTCTCAATGTGATTGAGAAGTTTAATCCTCCTTTTAATTATCATTGTGCATATGGCCACTTGTGAGCATGCCATAGTATGTCTGTGGAAATCAGAAGATAACTGTGGATTTAGTCCTCTTTTACATGGGTGCAGGGTAATGTTTTCTTTCAGTCTTTCAAGTACATATATTTTGTATAACTACTTAACTGTGCTTCAGTTTATAGTTAATTTAAAATCCATTTGCCTTCCCCTTCTGAATACATCTACTTCACAGCCATCGACCAGTGCATTGGTGCTATGGCGGTTTGAAAGAAAATGGCCCCCAATGGGACAGGCACTATTAGGAGGTGTGGCCTTGTTAGAGAAGTATCACTGTAGGGGGTGGGCTTTGAGTCTTTTGCTCAACCTTCCCTCAATGTGACAGTCGGCTGACTTCCTGTTGCCTGCAAGATGTAGGACTGTCAGCCACTAGCACCATGTCTACCTGCATACCATCATGTTCCTGTTCCCCATCATGATAATGAACTAAACCTCTGAAACTATAAGTGAGCCCCCAATTAAATGTTTTCTTTATAAGAGTTACCATGGTTATTATGTCTCTTCACAGCAATGAAATCCCAAATTAAGACAGGTACCATAACATCCTGCAAGATCAGTTTCTATCTACAGACCAGTGATAAGCAAGCTCCTCACCATTGATGCCATCTGGGCCTTCATCCGTCTCCATCTGGATCTCTTCCTCTTGATCTAGGTTGACATCAGGCGTTTCTACACGGATGATTGATTTATTCAGTAACCGAAAAGCTTCCTTCACATGTTTAGGCTGGACCTAACCCATGAGTAATGAGACAATTTAGCCATGTAAAAGGATATTTTATGCCAAACAGCTAAGAATACTGTGCTCCTCCCCATGTACACTATTAACTCAGCAAAATGGCTGAAATGACAGACAACATCATATATTGACCAAAACAAAGACTAACCCACTGCAGTCATATACGAATTTGCTGTGGGACAATGGTTTTACCCTGTAAAGATTTGTTTCTTGTACTTGTTTAATAAAATGCCGATTGGCCAGTAGGCAGGCAGAAAGTAGAGGCAGGGCAATGAGAATTCTGGGAGAGAAAAGCTCACAGTCTTCAGCCTTCACCCAGAGGCAGAACAAGATGTGACTGCCTCACTGAAAAAAGTACCAAGCCACGTGGCTAACACAGACAAGAATTATGGGCTAATATAAGTTATAAGAGTTAATAAGAAGCCTGAGCTAATAGGCCAAACAGTTTATAATTAATGTAGACCTCTGTGTGATTCTTTGGAACTGAAAGCTGCAGGAACAGGAGGGACAGAAACCTTGGTCAACACAAATTAATACAATTGTTTAGCAGACTCTTTCAATAAAGGCACTTGGCTTTTAATTGCAAAAGCAGTATGTGTACTTTCTTCCCATTTTATGTGCATACTTTTCTTTGTGGTCTGCAGAGGCCAGAAGAAAGTATTGGATCCCTTGGAAATGGAGACATAGACAATTGCAAGCCATTATGTGGGTGCTGCAAATAGAACCAGTGTTCTCTTACCTGAGCCCAGCAATATGCACTTCATGCATTCTTAACCATTTCCCCAGCTCCACTTTCTTTCATCTTTTTTTATTTTTATTTTTTTTTTCATTTTTTTCTTTAAGTCTTGAGACAGAATTCTCTGTTCCTGGCTCTTCTTGAACTCAAGAGATTTGCCCCCCCCCCCCCCCCCCCCCCCCCCCCCCCCCCCCCCCCCCCCCCCCCCCCCCCCCCCCCCCCCCCCCCCCCCCCCCCCCACCCCCCCGCCATTACTTCACAGTACTCAGAACTAAATCTAGGGCTCAACACAAGCACCCTACCACTCAGTTACATGCCCAAACCTTGTTTCACTGATTTGAGACAACATCCTATGGAGCTCAAGAGGACCTCAAACTTGGATTGGAGCGATGACCCTACCCATCCCTTTCAAAAACAAAATTTGAATTCTAACTGAACTTTGTATATAGAAGTACACAAAAGCCTTTGTTTGAAGCAGAGATGTATGGCTTCCAATATCCTCTCCCTCATACTCTAATATTTGCTTGTGAATCTAGGGCTCAAAGAGCAATTTAAAACCCATGGAGCTAAGGTTATATAGATCAGTGCCAAATGTGTTTAGCATGTACAAGGCTCTAAACTTAATCCCAAGCACACACAAAAATCAAAATAATAGCCAAACCCAACACACACTGATTACACCATCCTTAAGGAAAAAGGCTCCTTCTGAGACAGGAGACACGGCCACATTTGTATTCCCAGCCAAAGGCCAAGGACACTTACTTGAGATATGCTTCTCTGGATGAATGATTACTTACCTCTATCTGTACTCCACAACTACTGATTAGAATATATTATCTGTTACTAACAGTCTATCTACTTAATAACTGCAAGACAGCAACCTTCCCACTGGGAGAATAAGAATAGTACCAACTGGTTCTGAAGGTTCCATAACAAAGGTAAAAACATGCCCACAAGCCAACTCATGCATTCCTCTGTTATCAGAGGGACTGTGGTACCTCGTCACAGCAGTGCATCCGGGCCATTGATTCTGAGAGGCGGATCATACTCTCCAGCTGTCGCACAGTGATTCTCCATGAGGACTTAGTGACCCCAGAGCCATCCCTCTGGCGGAGGCGTTTGTATTGCTCCACAATGAAGTCCTCCGACTCTTTGGATATCTGTTTCAAAACCAGTCAAGTCAGGGAGACGTTTACACTCACTTCCCTTGATGGGCTACATTAGACTTCAGTTAAAGAGGATCCCATGTGGGAACACTCTGGGGAACTTAGAAGTTGAAACTTTAAGCTATCACAAAGACAATGAATTAGTTCAGAAACCGGTATTAAGAAGCTTATAAATTCCATGTACTAATTTTATGAGCATGAAGACAATAGACTAGTTTAAGCAAATGACCATTTCTAAATGACATTTAACAAACGAAGCAATAGAATAAAAAGAAATGCCTTTTGCACCTCAAGTGTCAAAGCTCACTAACTGTATTAACACTCAGACTAAACTTAAGGCTCAGATCAAGAACTCATGCTGGCTTTAGGTGAAAAGACAGCATACACTGACCTAAGAGGCCCTCAGTTTTTAAGAACAAGAAATGTACAGAGGTACAAGTATGTAGTCCTGGTGAACACACATTCTTCATACAAAAGTCACTCAAAATCCTACTTAATTTTACTGTTAAACAGAGTTTAACTATGTAAGCTATAATATCTGGCCAAAAATTTTTTAATAGTATTTAATAAGTCAAATATAAAAATTATTCAAATTAAAAATAATCTCTCAATCATTTCTGAAGAAACAAACTAGTATTCAAAACAAACAAAACACAAAACTTAAAATTTAAGGAGATTATAGTACACTTAGCAGGTTTTAAAAGGAGCATACCAAGTTGGGAAAGAAAAGTAGTGGGGGTATGGGAGGAGTGAGGTCTGGAAGTTGGAGGTAGATTTACCAAAACACATTATATTCAAGTATGAAACTTTCAAGCAACAAGTTAAAAAAGATTTAAGGACATGAAAAAGATAAACACATTAAGGTACATCGGCACCTTCCTATAAACTAAGCAGTAGGAATCTAAAGCAGGATTATGTTTGAAGCTTGCCTGGTCTACATAGTGGAGATCCTGCCTCAAAAGATCAAAACCAAAACCAACCAAAGCTAAAGATAAAAAAATAAAACCAAAACCAAGTACAGGTTCAGTTAATTTCAACTTAACTCATTTATTTAAATGGTTTTAACATACACACACATGCATTCACGAACGCACAGCTTATGCAGGTACAGCAAGGCAGATTACCTTGGGCTTAAACTGTCGGGCAAAGAGAAGATACCTTCTGATATCATCAAGGGAATAAACTCTGTCAATCGATTCTTCAATCCTTGAATGCAAGTCTACTATACGCCTGGCGATAGCATAATCTGTCACCTAATTTCAAACAAGAAGATAACTTCTATTAATCCTAGTTAGTGGTGACTCCAAAGTACCCCATAGGTAATTTATAGCTACAAATGATTTCTCATCTGGGCATGTAGTCAATGCCTATAATCCCAGTACTTGGGAAGCAGAGGCAGGAATAGCAGCAGTTCAATGAAGTTAACATTAACTACAAAAGATGTTCAATGTCAGTATAAACTACAGGAGACCCTACCCTGAAACAAAGACAAAATTAATCTCTATGCTACTGAAAAAGTTAATAATAGGTACCAACATTCTGAGCAGTTTTTATTTCATTTTTTTAGATTTATTTATTCTATGTGCATGAGTATTTTGCCTGCAAGTATGCCTGTACACTATGTTCATGTCTGATGTGCACTGGGGTGAAAAGAGGGCACTGGATCTCCTGAAATGAGTTAATAGATATTTGTGAGCCATCATGTGGATACTGAGAATTGTATCTGGGTCTTTGCAATAACAAAGTCTCTTAACTGTTGAGCCATCTCTACAGCCCCACAAGCAAAGTCCTCACAAAAGAATTTTTTAATTAAAAAAATACATTTTATGCTCGGTATGGTGGCATATGTCTTTAATCCCAGCACTGGGAAGGCAGAATCTCTTTGATCTTGAGGCCATCCTGGCCTGCATAGCAAGTTCCAAACAAGCCAGAATTTTGGTGAGACCTGTCTCAAAAAAAAAAAAAAAAAAAAAACCCAACAACAATAAAATTTATTTTCTGTGTATGGTGTTTTGCCTCTGTGTATGTGTTTGCACCGTGTACATGCTTAGTGCCCACAATGGCCAAAAAAGGGCTTCAGATCCCATGGAACTGGAGTTACAGGTGGTTGTGAGCCACCACATGGGTGTTAAAAATTGAACCTGGTCCTCTGCAAAAGCAGTAAGTGCTCTTAACCATTAAACCATCTCTCTAGAGATATTCCACTTAAAAAATATATCTGTAAGGAATGGGCTACCTTTAATAACCATATTTGCTATGAAAACAGAAAAAAGAACTAGTGGGGAGGAAGGGAACCTGCCACAACAAACAGGCAGATCTCTTGTGAGTTTGTGGCCAACCTGGTCTACAGAGCTAGTTCCAGGACAGGCTCCAAAGCTAGAAAACAAAACAAAACAACAAAAAACAGGTGGTAGTAAGTAACCAATTAGAGCAAAGTTACTGTTTGACAGGTGAATGGAAATGATACAAAGCCTGAGGGTTGCACACCTTTGATCCCAGTTTTTTGGAGGCAGAGGCAGGTGATTCTCTGTGATTTTTCAGCCTAGAGAGTTACAGGATAGCTGGGGCCACATAGAGACCCTGTCTCAAAATACAAACAAACAAAACTCAAACTCTAATGAAATCTAGTAGCATATGCTAACTTAAAAATTAATTTTAAGGGGCTGGAGAGATGATTCAGTGGCTCAGAGCACTGGTTGTTCTTCCAGGACTTGGGTTCAATTCCCAACACCAAATGAGACAACTCATACCTACCTGTCTGTAGCTCCAGTTCCAGGGCCTCTGACACCCTCACACATACATCCATGCCGGCAAATACCAATGCACATAAAATAACAATAGCAGAGCTTTACAGGGAACTCATTACATGACACTGTTTCCTCAGGAATGTGTAGAAGCAAACCTCATAAAAACCCCATAAAGAAGATATTAATTTTATTTTATATAGAAGCAAACTGAGTCCCAGAAGAGTTAAATAATCTGTCCAAGGACTTAGTAAGTAGTGGAGACAGGACTGATCAGTCTGGCTTCAGTGTCCTCTCAGTCACTACATTATTATCCAGGAGTTAACTGTGGTCATGCCCTCCCCCAAACACTCACAACAGCAAGGCAGTTTTATTTAGATAATGTTTCAAGTCAGGTTGGAAGCAGGGTTTTGCACTGTTACTACTAAATAGAGGAACTCCTTGCTCAGCAAATGAGTACAAATGAGCCCGCAAAGATGGCCACAGTGGGTTACAGAGTTCAGCGCCAGCATGAGTCACATTAAACTTTGTGAGGTGGTGGAGAGGGTGGGCTGTTTGTGCGTTATCACACACAAATAACTCTGGCCAGAAGTAGTACAACCGAGGGGCACCAAAGGTCATAAAACTGAACACAAATGGAAAACATGAACAGATTAAGTGGTTGGTTACCTCATTGCACTCATCCACCAAGATAAAGAAGAGATCAAAGCGGGACATGATAGGTGCCGACAGACTGATGTTCTGTTTCAGTGATTTTGATCTGTCATAGTGTCCGCTGACAGGGTTTGCTGCAGCTAAAATGGATGTCCTGGCATTCAGAGTTGCCTGAATGAGAAAAAAACATGAGACTAAAGAACAAACACAAACAGGCCAATATAGATACAAGGAAAAGTTGTGTCTCATGCAATTAACAAAACAGAAGTAAAATGGTGCAGCTGGCTTTCTCGGACCACCAGTCCCCAAATCATGACATGGAGACTTATTATTTGTTATGAATGCTAGGCCTTAGTTTAGGCTTGTTCCACTAGCTCTTATACCTTATTTTAACCTGTTTCTCTTCATCTACATTTTGCTTCCGAGTTTTTTACTTTTCTTTCACTCTGTATGTCCTACTTTCTTGCTTTCTCCATGTCTGTCTGGTAGTTGCATGGCTGGTTGGTCCCTGGCATCTCCCTTGAGTCTAAATTCCTTTTCATACTTATTCTCTCTGCTTCCCATCCCGGCCTACCCCTCTACTGTCTAACTACTGCAGCTTTTTTATTAAACCAATCAGGTGCCTTAGGCAGGCATGCAACACACCTTCACACAGTTAAATATTCTGCAGCATACACAAATGTAACACATCTTTACATAGTTATACAAATGTAGCATAAACAAATATAACACTTTATATAATTAAATATTCCATTCTGCAACAAAAAGCAGAAGGCTTTTTCAACTACTGAATCATCAAAACTAAAGTATGATAAGAGCACAATAAGCTCTTCTATATTGGTGATGTAATCTCTTATGTGTCCCTTAGCCAGCACTCTGCTAGGAATTTACCTTTTAACTACATACAGTGGATACTCAGTTTACTACAATAACTGTATCTTGTGACACACAAGACTAAAAATGAAGCCAGGCAGTTGTGGCAGAGCAGATCTTGGGAGGCAGAGGCAGGCGGATCTCTGTGAGATCAAGGTGAGTCTGGTCTACAAGAGCTAGTTCCAGGACTGGCTCTAAAGTTAGGGAAACCCTGTCTCGAAAAATCAAAAAGACTGAAAACAACCCACCCAATGTATGGTTCATGCAGGTTCAATGTCATGGGCTAGTAAGTCACAACTGACCTAGTAGGACTATAGAACTATAGGAAGACTGACAATAAAATTAAGTGAAAGGAGGAAAGAACTGTATGCATCAGCTTATTTGTATGTGAAGTATTCCCACAATACATACCTAATATCCATTGTACTGGGAGTTGAAGGTGAAGATTTCTCTTAAATTTATACACCAGTAAATACTTTAAAATTTTTTAACTAACAAAGATATTGCTTTCTTTCAAGTTTATATATTTACAAATTTACAGTTTACAGATTTTTTTAAATTATGGGTATGCATGTCTGTCTCTGTGTAAGTGCATGTGCATGCAAATCCTGTAGGAGCCAGAAGAAGGCTCTGGAATCCCTAGAGCTAAACTGTTCACTGTGAGTTCTGGGAACTGAACTTGGGTTCTCTGCGAGAACAGAACAATCTCTTAATTGCTGAGCCATCTGTCTGTCCACCAAACCTGATTTTAATAAGCTAAGATTCTCTCTAATGTTGGTCATAATATAATTCTTTTCATTTAAATTATTTGTTATCTTTGAGTATTTTGTGGTACTGGGACCAATAGCTGTTTTTGTTTTAACAAGCATGTTTATCAAAGAATGTGGGTTTTATTTATGAAAATTTTGCCAAACACAGTTAACAAGACAGCACAGCAGGTAAAAGCCCCTTCCACGAAAGCCTAGTGACATGAGTGTGACCCCCAGAAACCCATGTGAAAATGGAAGGAAAAAACAAAATGCACAAAGCAGTCTTCTGTCACATGTACTCCTCCCCCAATAAATAAACATTTCTAAAGCATTTTGACAAATCAGAAGAAATGCTAAAAATTACACTAGTGCAATCAGTTTCTATCACAGCAATATATGTACACTAGACTCTCAATAACATCTGTACCTTACATTTTAGATCAGTATTACACATTGAAACAATGCATTTCACCAGGTGGACATCTCTATCATACTAATCTCCACAACTAAGGGGATACACACCTTTACTCCTGCTTTAGTGATAGATATGGTCTGCTGCTCCATAGCTTCATGAATAGCGACTTGGTCCCGCATGTCCATCTTATCAAATTCATCAATACAACAGACACCCTGTAACCAAACAGATCTAACATTAAGGAATTTCCTTTTAGGGCTGGAAATAATAGCTTGGTGTTAGTTACTTGACTTGCTTGTGTGAGGAAAGCAGACAAAACTGCTTTGTAAAAACAGATGTAAAACGATAATCTCACAAAGTGTCCAGAAACCTCTCCATTCCCTAGGCAAATGGAAGACAGGATGTAAACATTCTTAACTCCTGTTTAGACAAGACTGTCCAATAGAACAAAGGGCTGGAAGCGATACTCATGTTACTCATTTAAACTAAGAGCAAATACCTAAAAGTAAAACTAATAATATGCAGACAATGTACTCTTCTCAACATTTAAACCTCAGCCTCAAGAGACTTGGGCTGTCCCAGCACTTGGGAGGCAGAGGCAGGCAGATCTCTGTGAGTTCGAGACCAGCCTGGTCTACAAGAGCTAGTTCCAGGACAGGCTCCAAAACCACAGAGAAACCCTGTCACGAAAAACCAAAAAAAAAAAAAAAAATCTTTATTGAAACATCACATTGCAATCAATAAATACGTACACGCAAGTGATGAAACATAAGAGGTATTTTGTCAATCAAAAATAAAACTAAAGGACAGAACTAAAGAAGAAAACCTTGGGAAAAAATCTTTGCAAATTCTGTCATGTAGGTATAAGAGGTGTAGACAATATAGCAAGAATGGGGCATTGTAGAAATCATACAAGAGTTGATGCAGAGAGCGTTAAGGAGATACTGTGGTCCATAAAGAATTGTGTCCTAAAGAAATGGTCAAAGTTTCTAAAATGGTGCTTACCCCGAAGATCACTGTGGTCCCTGACACAAAGTACCATGGGATGCGATGGCACCGAGGCATGTGTGGCTCCATCTCCTGCAATATTGGAGAAATAACAAAGTCACACTTTGGCCTCACAGTTGAAACTCTAAATTTGGTTTGAAACGTACTTCAGGTCTATGGCTATTACAAATATACTCTCAATATCATCTAAAATATACTTCAGTGTAACTGGTTCACTCAGCACTAGATTGATTCACAGTGATATATATATATATTTCTGGATTCTATAATAATTTTTAATGAGCTTGAGTTCAGGATTTTCTTTAGATAATTATGTAACTTTACTAATATATATTAAATTATATTATATGCATGCTGTTAGATATTCCCACTCTTCTTACACAGTTCCTGCATAGACCCCACCTGAAGGTCCACTACAAAGAAAAGTAAGTTACAGATTTTGTTGTATTACACACGTTTATTGGTTCAGTAAAAACTGATAAGAAATAGCAGTTAGAAAATAACATCAAAGTTAGAGGATATCAGAAGAGTCACTGATAGAATATGATTGTGAGTAGGGCTTTAAACACAACTTTAAAGGTAATTGCAGAGAAGCAGTAATAAACATGAATGCAGTTACAGAAATAAATGTCACTTATTCATGAACAAGGTACCATGGGTTAAACAGTTGCTGTACTGCAAGACAGCCAGGCCCAGTGTGACAGGCAGCATCAAGGTAAAACAGCTATGTAAACAAAGTGCCTCATCTTTCTATACCCTTAGTGGAAAGCACGTGTGTTTGTGTGTGTGTTTATGCATTTGCAGATCAGTGATTCTTAACCTATAGTTTCTGACCACTTGGGAGTCATATATCAGATATCCTGCATTTCAGATATTTATTTACATTACAGTTCATAACAGTAGCAAAATTACAGTTGTGCAGCTGCAATATAATCATTTTTGTATGGGGATTACACAACATGAGGGACTATATTAAATAATTGCAGTATTAAGAAGGTTGAGAACCACTGCACTACATTCAGGGATAAACCCTCTATTAAACACTATATTCAGGGATCACACTTAATATCTAAAGCAAAGTGTATGAAATAGATGTCATTCACATAGAAAGAGAAGTGGGAGAAGGAGGGAAAGAGAGGAAGAAAGAGGAGAAGGTGGGAGGGGAAAGAAGTTGCCACTGTTAAGTCCAAAACATTTAGGATATAAGTGGTAACTGGTAAATGAGGCATTCTCAGTAGAATCTCAATCAGTTCTGTCTTAGAATATTTGTCTTTCTTCCCTTCTTCTAGATAAGCACTTACTGCCTTTAGTTCTGAATATTTCTTCAAATCTTCTACATAGGAAACTCCAACAGAAAATAGAGAATGTGTATTTTGGTGGATTTCTATAGATGATAAAAAAAAAAAACCAAGGCTGAGAGTATGAATAAAAACATTAAAATGAATTATTAGACACAGGTGCAGATATGACTATTATTACTCCAGAATCTTGGCATTTGAATTGGCCTTTTCAGGAGGCAGATATTGAATTCTTAGGAATTGTAACCCTACCTCAGATAAAGCATCAGATGGATTGAAAGCATAGTGCCAAAAGGACAGAGAAGATGACTAAGGTTGTATGTGGCTAATACAGCAGTGAATCTATGGGGTTGTTATAACAATGGAATATTCAGATAAACATTCCTGCAGTCTCAGAAATAGACCATAAAGCAATTCATGTTTCTGGGAAGAAGATTATAAGGTATTATAAAATAAATTGACACTGACCATTCAGGCTGTACAAAAAACACAGAACCACAACTGAAGAACTCTCAAAGGTACCAATGGCCCTAACTTACAAATGGTTAACTAAGAAACCTAAATGGGCTAAGCAATGATCTTTATCAAAAGAAAAACTGCAGGCTTTAGAACAGCAGGTGCAGGAGCATTTAGATGTTCAGTATATTGAAGAATCAACCAATTTCTAAAATTCTTCTGTAATGTTGTAAAAGTAAATCTGGAAAATGGAAAATGGTAACAGATTTAAGAGCTGTTAATAAGGTGATTCCACTAATGGACTCTCAACAGTCTGCCATTTTTTTTTTTACCTTCTCTATTGCCTAAAGGATGGTAATGTGGGATTTCCCTCTGTATGCTGTGAATACCATTGATTAATAAGGAAACTGGCTTGGCCTG